AAAGGGGCCATTGGGGTTCAGCACGGAGTAGTCCAGCTGATGGCCCAGTGTCAAGGATGGGTGACAAGTATGGAGCCGCAGCCCTTCACCAGACGCCCCTGTCGCCCTGCAGCAGGCTGCCTGGGCCAGGTATGGACAAGGATACGTCAAGACGCTCGGGGGAGATGTTCTGGATGGAGACCTTCTTTATGCCGCGTTGTCCTGAAACGGGGGAGTCAGGTCACTGCCCAGGCCTGGGGGTGGGGCATGGGAGCCCAGGCGGTGAAGGGGTGCCTGGGTCCCTATGGGTGGGGGATGGCCGTGGGGGGCTGGGCCCGATCAGGACACACCTACAGCGATGTCGCCGAAGTCAGCGATGGTCTTGCCTTTGTCGGACGTCACCACAATGGATGGTGCTACCGCTGGACACCACAGCTCCAGGTACATGGTGTTGTGGGGACTGAGGTGGCGGGTAGCTGCTGAGGGCGGAGTGGGCGCCGCATGCCCCGCCCTCTCAGCCTGACCCCACCCAGATCTGGGGGGCTGCAGAGCGGGGACAGTGACTTCTTGGCCAACCACACCCCACCCTGCCCAAGCACCGCACCTGAAGCTCAGGGGTTCTGTCCCCTTCCTGTCTTTGGTGTCACCACTGGCAACAACACAGGGGACCACAAACTTGTCAAACTTCCCCTGGAAAGATCTGGTCAGGGTGGCCTGCGCAGCCTGGTACTCCTGGGAGCTGCAGTGGAACCGGCAAGGTGCTCTCACACCCCTATCCCTAGGCTGCCCCCAGCGGCCCAAGAGGCCCCACGCTGCCCTCCATGGAGGGGTCCATAAGGCCATGCCTGCTCCCCAGGGCCCTGGGCTAGAGGGTATGAGGTGGCAGCTTTGGGGGGGGCCACGTTGTGGCCCAGGCTATGGCTGTCCCAGTTTTGTCTGACCAGCTGGTTTTCTCACCCCTTCCCTGGTTGTTGTGGCGGCCTCCCCCCTCCCCCAGGGTCTGGTCAGGCACCTAACCAGAGAGCCATGTTCCTGGAGCCACAGGCAAGGGTCCAGGGCTGGCAAGTGGCTCAAGCCCATTGGAGTTCTCTGGAGCTCGTTTGGCAGCTGGGGGGTCTGGGAACACGGGAGTCAGGGGCTCAGCATCTCCCCAGCCCCTGGCCTGAGGTTGTTCACAGGGACCCTGGGCCCTAGGGCCCCAGGGGAAGGAGGTGAGCAGGTGCCCAGGAAGGCAGAGCCTGAGGGGACTCCTGGTTCCAGCTGTACCTGAAGCCAGCCCCACCCTGGCCTTCCAGCCACAAGGCTCAAAACAGCTCTGCTCCAGGTGGAGGACGTCTCTGTGGGGGGCAGCCTTCTCTCGGGCCCACCTGGACGTGAGGTCCTCTTTCTGCAGCTCCAGGGGCTGGGAGGCAGAGGCCTGGAACAGCCGGTCTCGGTTCTGCAGCTGCAGTATGGGGAAGGACCGTCTCTGCTGGTCTTTCCTCTGGGTGGCCGTGTCCTTTTGGGAGTGCGAGGTGGGAGGCCAACTGTGGGGCTGCGCCGGGGACTCTGCTCCCGGCAGACCGCCCAGGGCAGGAACCCAGGGGCCCAAACTCCAAGCGGCTCCCTGGGGGACACCGTTGGCAGGTGTGGAGACCCCAATGTCTGTCTTTACCATCGGGGAGACCGAGGCCCGGGGCGGGGCAGGGCGGAGGGCTGGCCGAACTGGGGGTCCTGGTCCCTGTGCCCTGCCCCCAGCCTCACTGCCCTGCCAGCAGGCTACAGGCCCTGCCCCTCCTCCTGCGCTTGCTATGACAGCACGGGTGCTCAAGATCAGGCCCCAGAGGCTGCGGGGGGTCGCGGGGCTCTGCGTCCCCAGGGCAGCAGCAGGCAGGCCCTGGGCTGTGACTGCCCAGCTCTGTTGGTCGCCCTTTCCCGGCAGGAGCCCGGAGGTGGCTGCCTCTCCAGGCCTGAACTTGCTAGGATTCACAGGCCCCTTTGAGGTTCATCTGTTCCCCCTCCGTTGTTAAGGGCAAGCCCCCTGCTAACCAGTGCAGAGGGGCCCGGCCCACCCTCCCGGGACCACCGTCTGGGGACCCACTTCGCCTAGCGATGCTTTCAAGAGGGAAGGGAGGAGCCTTGCCAAGAAAAAGTGTTAACCTCTTGAAACAGTTCCCCACACACACAAGGCTCCAGAAAAGTCTGCCCAGGGCTCCTGACACCCCAGCCCCCCAGCCTCAAGGCCGGTGGGGTTTGTTCCCAAGCCTTTGTGCAGTGGCCTCGTTCATAGTGGGCAGCACCCCCGTCCCCCCCAGGCTCCCCCCAGGCTCCCCCCACCCCGCCATGTACCGATTTGGCCTCAGCTTCTTTGGTCAGGGCCTGTAAGGCTTCCTGGTGGATCAGCTCGCTGGGCAGCACGGGCCGGAAGGCCACCCGCACTAGGCACCTCTGTGAGGAGAGAGGCCGGAGGGCAGAGGGGCCCCTGTGGGTGCCCCTGAGCACCCTGCTGCCGCCGCCGCCGGGGTCCCCTGGTCACGCTCTTGGACATCCTGGGGTGATACCCCATCTCTCCTTTGGGGTCTCAGCTTAGACGAGCCCTTCTGGAAGGTCCTTCCTGACCTCTGCCCCCGGAAGTTGGGGTGGCTGCAGACATGATCACCAAGCCCCTCTCACCATGCGGGGGGGGGCGTCCTGTGATGGACCAGCCCACTGACCACAGGGCACGAGTGAGAAGGGGACGTTTGTGTTCAGCCACTGAGACTTGGGGGTGAGTACCTGCACCCTCACCTGTCCCCCTTTCTGAAGCACGTCCACCTTGCAGTTCACCCCCGGGGACGGCCCCGGGTCCCAAAGGGGGTTCACTCTCCACGGCCCGCCCCGTGCTCAGTGCAGCAAGGGAGCAGGGGTGGGTAACGGCTGCAGTAACCCCCTTGGAGAGGGGAACCATGACTTAGGCTGAATTTGCTCAGTTTACTAAAATGCATTTCAATGATCACTGAAACACTGCCAGGGTCCAGGGCCTGCATGTGCCCCTCCCCACTGAGTCCCCTCACAGTGGCTGTCACCCCAACTTTTGAAGGTAAGGAATTCAGCTTGGAGAGGCTGTGATGGCCCCAGGGAGTCTCTGCCTCCAGGCCCGGGCTCTTTCTGCTTTATCAGCAAAAGCAGTGGTGGGGAAACCTTTTGCCAATCAGCTGGTGGACAGGCACCCTGTGCTCCTGGTGACCAGGCGCTGTGTGGCCTCTGTGCCCATCTGCTGTGAGATCCAAGGGCTGCACACCCTCCCTCAGCCTGAGCTGCTGGAGCCTCCAGCCAGGGGCCTGTGGGGTCAGCTGCCCGTGGGTGCCCCACCTCTGGGGCCAAGTTGGGCTGGGCGGAGGGCACCGTGGCCTGCTTGGGTCTGATAAGCATCCAGGTTGATCTCCACGTCTGCTGTCTGGTTGAATCGCTGCGGTCCAGGGAGAGTAGAGACCGGCCCCCTGGGCTGGCCCCGCCCCGGCCCACCCGTGGGGCCCACACCCACCTTTCCTGGCCACACGGTGCCCACCGAGGGTGAGATGGTGATGGGGGAGTCTGGGGGCAGCAGGAACTCGAAAGATGTGGGCCCCACGGGGGATGCGTCCTCCGAGCCGATGCGGGGTACCGAGGGCGTTGGCAAGTTCATACTCAGGCGGGAGTTGATGACGTACAGGGTGGCCACCGACGTGTTGTACAAGGAGGTGGCCGCAAACTTGACCTGGTAGTGGGACAGCTCCAGGAGCGGGTGGACACCCACAGCCCGGCACGTCAGCTTGAAGCACCTGGAAGTGACAGCGTGGGCAGCTCAGCTCAAAATTTTAGTAAATTTTGAAAATTCTTTGTGCCCCTGTGCACATTTTAATTAGACAGTTAAAATTTTAATCACAAGTTTAAACAGTTGCAAAGCAGGAAATTTCTGGCTTATTTCCTTAAATATTCACTGACATTTAAAAAATAAAACTGATAGGGGACTGCCCTGGTGGTACAGTGGTTAAGACTCTGCACTCCCAATGCAGGGGGCCTGGGTTTGATCCCTGGTCAGGGAACTAGATCCCACATGTTGCAACTAAAGATTCTGCATGCCGCAACTAAGACCCGGTGCAGCCAAATAAATAAATATTTTAAAAAACCTGATAAATTACTCTTTAAATATAAACATGGGAATCTATATACCATGGTGAATTGATTCCTTTTTTCCTTTTTTTTTGGCTGTGTTGGGTCTTTGTTGCTGCACGCGGCTTTCTCTACTTTCGGCGAGTGGGAGCTACTCTTCGTTGTGGTGTGCAGGCTTCTCATTGTGGTGGCTTCTCTTTTTGCAGAGCAAGGGCTCTAGGCGCGCAGGCTTCAGTAGTTGTGGCTGGTGGGCTCTAGAGCAGGCTCAGTAGTTGTGGTGCACGGGCTTAGTTGCTCCGCGGCATGTGGGATCTTCCCGGACCAGGGCTCGAACCCGTGTCCCCTGCATTGGCAGGCGGATTCCCAACCACTGCGCCATCAGGGAAATCCCATGAATTGATTCTTGCCACCATCCAGTTTTAAAAAAAAAGAACAGATATTTGGGATTTTAACCAGTGGAAAATTTACAATCCATGTTGCTTTGAACTTCTATTTCCATTGCACTTGTGCCATTGGATTTTATCCTAATTACACGTTTTAATGCTTTATGAGGTGATGTCGATGGCCCTGTCATACTTGTCTGTAACAAAAATGCGTTCATAGGCTGAAATATTTCAACGTATATTTTTGTGTCCTGTGACCACAGGCTCTAAATGTTAAAAAAAATTCCTTCTGGGTGGAGATGTCATTGAGGTTATTGTTACAAGTTAATTAGTTGAAAAAGCACAAATATATGGAATGTGATAATCATTACATATAAAAAGTAAGAGCTGCTTAGAGTCACTTCAGGAAGGTGATGGAGCTGTTTCCCGGCTGGTTCAAGGGCCCGTGAGGGACGCAGCCTGTGGCCTTGCTCTGTTGACCTGGGAACTGGGGGTGGGGAGCCCACCCAAGTCCCCTCCAGCCCCTTCCTTTCCATTCTTGTGACCACGCGTCTTCCGATGTCCCTCTGAGGAGCCCCCCGTGGCTCTCTCAGGTCCTGCTCCACTTTGCTGCAGGGAAAGACCGTCAGGTCCCGTCACCCAGGCCCAGGCAGATGCTGTGACCTGCAGGCAGTGGGTTCACCCAGGACACCCAATGCCACGTTTATCTCCATGCATGCTATACATGTTTCTCTCCCCCTCAAAAACCACCGAGGTGAGATGAGCCCATCAGCGTGTGGGGAATGTTCTCCTGACCTCAGAGGCAGACATGCAACATGCCTGGCCTCCCTGCCTAGCTGCGTGCGAGCCTCCAGCTTCTTTTATCTGGTCACACAGGCAGCTGGTGCCCGTCACAGGGGCCAGGCCAAGGGGACAATCAGCCCTGCTCTGGGGGTGTGCCTGACTTCCAGAATGTCATCACCATCATCATCATCACCATCACCACCATCATCATCACCACCATCATCATCACCATCACCACCACCACCACCATCATCATCATCATCACCATTATCAACATCACCGTCATCACCACCTCCATCTCCACCATCACCACCATCACCACCATCACCATCACCATCATCACAATCACCATCACCATCATCATCACCATCACCACCAACATCATCACCATCACCATCACCATCATCACTATCACCATCACCACCATCATCATCATCACCATTATATCACCGTCATCACCACCTCCATCTCCATCTCCATCACCATCACCATCATCACCATCACCATCATCACCATCTCCATCATCATCATCATTAACATCACCATCAGCAGCAGCAGCAGTACTGGGCTGAGGGCAGCAAGATTTCCCATCTTCTGTTCTCTGGAAGATTTGTGTATAATTGGCATCATTTTTTCTTTAAATGTTTGGAAGACCTCATCAGTGAAGCCATCTGCATCTTTCATTTTGGGAAGCTTTTAAACTTTTAAAAAAATTTTTTGCATTTAAACATATATTTATTGGGCCCCACAGGGCCCCTTGGCTTGATCGGAAGCTCGGGAATCTCTCTCCATGCCAGCCTCCTTCAGGAGAGCGGAGGGTTGGAGGATATCTCTGAGTCCAGATCACCACGGACTCCCTGCCACAGGGCTGTGCCTGATCACACCTGGCCCACCGACTCAGCTGCGGAACTCCGAGTCTGCGGTGGAGAACGGGGGAGAGGCTGATCTAGCAGCTGCCGAGGCTTCTTTTGCCTCGAGGACACCTTCTCTCCTTTTGCCTGTGCCGGCCGGGACTTCCCCTCCGAGAAAACACTAAATATTGGAGGATCAGAAAGAGGGCGTAGGGAAGTCGCTACGCACCTGTCAGCACCTACGAGCCTGGAAACTCTTGGGTCCCCAGCAGCTTTATCAGGTAAATTAGGAAGGCTACCTCACTAACAGGTACAGAAATCTCAAGGTATTTTCAGGAACTTGAAAAGGGAGGAATTCACCTAGATCTGATCAGATGCTCCAAGACCTACAACCAGGGCCTTACATACAGACTGGAAAAGACATAATTTAAAGGACTGTCTCCAAACTGGATGGAAGGACCCTTATCAGATTACAATAGGTTTACATCAAGACAATGATGATGCAAAGATTCCAGCCGTTTCTCAGAACAGATCCTGCCAAACGACAGCAGAAGTCACCCTGGGGCCCTTAATGAGACAGGGCGAGAGCTCCGTGACCCCAGCTGCGTGGGTCTACGAGCCCCTTGCCAGCCTGAAGAAGATGCAGAAGACAGGCCGTCGCCCCTCATCCGCCCAGTAAAGATTTCTCGGGGTTCTCGTCTCTCGGCGGGGGGAGGGAGGACTGTAAATAGGAGGCAGATGGGCCCCTGGGCCGGACAGCTGGCGTCTGTCAAGTGGAGCGAGACTGAAGTTTTGTCCTCGGCCAGACAAGAACGACGCCCGTTTCCTCCACTGATAGGGACGGAATGAAGGAGCAAGCGGGGAGTTAGTTTGCAGCAAAAATACAAGTGAAGTGTGTCGTGTCCCCCCCGCCCCCGCCGAGAGCCGGGAAAGCAAAGGGAGCAGCGAAGAGGCTGGAGAAACATCACCTGGCCTGAAAGAGTTCGGCCCTCCTAGTTTGTTTGTTTTTAACGGTTACTAACCTGTAGTGTCTGTAACTAGATTCGTACTTCACAAAGCCAACCGATTAGCTATAACACTGTGTGAATCACATCCTGCACTCACCCCTCGTAGCATTTGCATTTCAGAAAAAAAGTCGCAGGCCAATAACCCAGAGACAAAAAGACCCAATTACGGGGGCTGCCTGATGCCGGCTGTGACTGTTTTGCGAAGGAGGGAGGACACTGTTCTTGAGGCGCTAGCCTGCTGTGTCTTCCCTTCTGCCTGGCAGAAAAATAGAGCCTTCCTAGGGGA